ACTGAGTGAAGCCATGGACCGAGCTCCAATTCCAATTTCAGATAACCGTATTTTTGTAATTTGACTGTTATAACACCAAGCAGAATACACTTGCAACGCGTCATATCTCCAATTGTGGGCTATCCAGTCCCCTGTATTCAATCGAGGCAAACAACATTAAGCCATTACATCCACAAAGAGGTCATAGAAAGAGATGTAAATACAGGGACCACAACATTTGTGAACCGATGGAATTTTTCAAACGGTCAATTTCACCAACCAGTCGCTCCGGATGTCGTGTGTTTCAATCCCACCACTACCGCCTGAAGTTCTCCATTTTCTACGTACTGTATGGTTTTCTGATCAGTTCATTCTGCTTCCTTAAAGCTCTATTGCAATATATTCAATGAACAGGAACACATTTAAACAATTGAAATATCGCTACAGTACGCCAGCTGTGAAGGGTCGTAATGTGTCAACATATTTGTATCGTGTGTTGAAGTGTGCCAAAGTGCCTGTCCATAAATCACTAGCTGCTAAACGATTCTTCTGAAATAAACGACGAATATTTGTATAACCTCGATAAGAGCCTACGAATTCAACGTTAAACCTCTTCATTACAGATTCATCCACAGTGTTGTTCACACGTATGTTTGCAAATTAGTGATCTGGAAAGTTCATGGGAGCCTTTCAAAACATAATTGACTAAATGGAGAAGTTGAATTTTGTATAGATACAATGAAAATTATAATAAACAGCGTAGTATTTCAAAATGTTTTGTGCAATTAGAAAGAAAACAATTGCAAAACTTATCAACAGTTGATCTATTCAATTTTATGCGAGATGAACATCTGAGCCGGTTGGGTGAATTTTCAGCATTTTATAACATATTTCTGCAAAGAAATGAGAGTTTTCACCCCCGGATACTCGATAAACATAACTTTCAAATCATTTATTTTTTCTCCGTTCAGGCTAAATTCGTATTTGTAAAACAGAGAAATCGGAGGTCAGCCGTGCCTCTTGTTCACATTTGTGACCTCTGTGATCTTGAGAAAATTTTGCCCTGTATTTCGTGTAGATCATCTGAAGCGTGACGGTTAGAGTGAATGTTTTCTCGTCAACTGACTACTAACTTTTCTTTCCCAAATATTAGGATTTACTTAGTTAGCAAAACGAAGAAAGAATCCAAAATCGGAAATAAAAATATCAACAACCGGGATATCAAATGTTTGAATAAACTTTTCAATAACTCAACGAGGGAAACAGGAATAGTGTTCAGCGTATAAAGTTGTCTTTTGAACAGGAAAAGGGATGCATAGCAATGAAATGGGCTTTAGTTTTAAGAAATCTAAATCACATTCATGAAAACACATCCATTCAATACCCGAAAGTAGCATTAATTCAATCAGAACCGGTTAAAAAATCATGTTATTGTTTAATTTGAAAAAAATATCACGCACATGTTCATAAATTTTATCTTTCCTCGACGTTTCACATGAATAACCGTTTTTCCGAAACACATTTTCACTCCCATTTTCTCTTGTGCATTCGTACATTTTTATTACAGCTGAATGCGAACATGCGATATCGCGCGATATCAATTATGCCCACATATGTCTTCTTGTGTTGATGAAATGGATAAAGAAGAAAGGATGTTCTACATATAACGGTTATCTTTTACAGTCCAAAACTGGATCAAATGGGGATGAAATTATTCAACGCTGTGAAGTTAGGAATGATTTTGTTCTGTGCTTTCTAAATGAATCATCCACACAAGTATGTAATTAAATACATGGATTTATTTTTGGTAAACTTCTTATGTTACGGTTTGTGCTTTTATTGATTTCTAAAAATTCGACAACAAAAATGCACGGGTAGTAAATTGTTTTAGCTCATCGCTATCGGGTTAAATGAATTGACTAACTGTCACTAAATTCATTTGCCTCGGTTGGCACACTGGCGTCACAGGGCTTCTATACCTAGAGGTGAATTTTGAGTCCGAAGTAATCAGGTGAATTTGCACCTGTATTAAGTGGTAACCATAGATCGGAAATTAAGTCTTGTGGTTTTGAGTGAAGAGAAGACTGGATGACCTGTAGTCTGTTTGTGAATATTAGGGTTAAAACTACAGTCAGTCCAAATCAACATCATATACTCCACATTACTACTTTAATTAAACTTGTCAGTTCAGTGTACATTATCGTGCCGTCGTAAACCGCTTTTTAACACAATTTGTTTATCAAATTGTAAGGATGCGGAAGATCTCGTTGCACATCCCACGCAGCATGCAATGATTGTCTCCGCTTCTGTGAAATAGGACTGAAAGTCACAAAAAAGTTGACTCAATATTCGGAAATCAATATTATATCACTGACGCATGTATGTATTTTCTCAAGTTTGTGAATTTTAACGAAAAGCTCGCCATTATCTACGTCCAGGACCGCTGTTTTCCTCACGTTTGATCTCAAAAATTACTCTTCAGTCTAAATGCAAACGTACAATTACAAGCTCATCTGTTGAAAGCTGACAGGAAAGACAGGACCGAACCCCTGCTCTCATTAGCTTTCTTTGGCAATACATGACCACCGGCTTATTCATGAATATACCACTGGATCCCTCACGAAACGTGTGATGTAACTATGTGGATCATATTGAACAGTAGATGATTATGGTCATAAATTTCAACAGCTTTTGTTGAGCGTATGTTTGACCAGGTGTTTCGTAAGGTGAAATCCAAACAAAGTATCATTATCCTATGCTCCAGTTCAACAGCGTTGACATATGCTTCTTCCAAACAATGGATTTAGAGGGAAAAGCCCGGTTGATAATCCCTAATAATAAGCGCCTAACAGAGTGAATTTTGACAGAGTGATTGCTCAGTTCATGATTTATTCGGAGACTGTGCGTAGAAATGATTTAGCGCCGATTATATTAGTTCATTATCTCAATTCTGATACTGTAAATTATGTTCGTATTTTGAACAAATGTTTGGTTTTACTAAATTTATTTATGGAGTCTTAATTTTTGAACATATGCTTATGCAGCTCGAGGAGTAAGTTCAACAAGAACAAGCCTCGAAGAATCATTGCAACGATTCTGTATTGGGTGTTATGGGTAACATGCGTCTAACCTCAGCCAACTCAACGACAGGGTCAATCTCAGTATTTTTATAGGGAGCACTACATAAATGACTGAACAATATTTCCCTGAAGCGCACAACCGGTTTCGCGGTTTCATGGCTACACATATCTGACGAGTGACAAGGACCGTGAAACAAGTAATGTGCTTTAGGAAATTTTGTTCAGTCATTGATACACTACTCATTATATAATTCTCTATTCCAATACTTCATTATACAGCCATCACAAAACAATGTACATGACTAATTACCAACAGGTATTCATGAGGTAAACGGGGAGGTAATTGCAATTTTCCCCCGCAAATTCGGAGGATCCAAATTCTGTAATAGTTAATTATCATTTGTTCGGATGTTTCATGATGGGTCACTTATCGGTAATTCTGGTGAAAGGAGCTTGACTACTTGCAAAGCTGCTTTTAAGGATACATGGTGGAGTTGTGATGACGGATGCTAATTACATTCGTTCTCTAGCTACAGCAAATACAGTTAGCATCTGTCATCACAACTCCCCTCTGTATCCTTAAAAGCAGCTTGTGCAAGCACTCAACAACTTTTCACCCGGATNTTGCGGATAAGTGACCCGTCATGAAATATCAGGACGAATGATAATTGATTCCTACCGAATTTTGATCTTCCACATTCGCGGTGGGTAACAGTTGTGATGTAAACTGTTTAAAGTTGCAAATACTTTCCCGTTAACCTCATGAATCTTCTTTATCCGTAAATATTCATATCTATTGCGTCGTAATGGCATGATTATGAAACACTAAAAGCGAGCCTTCTTTGTAATCTAGTGTTGTAATCATGTGTATTCCTTACTTTCCGTCAGATGGTGCTAAATTTAATAATCAAAATGTTTTTACGTCTGTAAGGTTGGGTAACGCAATACACTTTCTCTAAATATGATAATATTACTTTTACTTTGCTCAATCCGCCGTAGTTATTCAAAATACTCAGAAAATCATATACCTGAAA